CATGTAGTACATATATATGTAGTATCAAAGCAATTGGACTTGCGGTTTTTAACAAGAAGTCGAAAATATCAGTTTTTACCAAAAATGACAAAAATATTCACCAAAATTAGAGAATTAAAGATATCATTACAAAATGAACAAATCTGAGAGAGGTCCACATGTAGTAACTATATATGTAATATCAAAGCATTTGCACTTGCGGTTTTTAACAAGAAGTCGAAAATATCAGTTTTTACCAAAAATGACAAAAATATTCACCAAAATTAGAGAATTAAAGATATCATTACAAAATGAACAAATCTGAGAGAGGTCCACATGTAGTACCTATATATGTAATATCAAAGCAATTGCACTCGCGGTTTTTAACAAGAAGTCGAAAATATCAGTTTTTACCAAAAATGACAAAAATATTCACCAAAATTAGAGAATTGAAGATATCATCACGAAATGAACAAATCTGAGAGAGGTCCACATGTAGTACCTATATATGTAATATCAAAGCAATTGCACTTGCGGTTTTTAACAAGAAGTCGAAAATATTAGTTTTTACCAAAAATGACAAAAATATTCACCAAAATTAGAGAATTAAAGATATCAACATGAAATGAACAAACCTAAGAGAGGTCTACCCAAGGTACATATACACCAAGTATCAAAGCATTTAGGCTTGTAGTTTTCAAGAAGAAGTCGAAAAAGTAAAACATTGACACGGACGACGACGACGACGGACGACAACGGACAATCACTCATATGATAAGCTCCGCTCGACAAAGTCGACAGCGAAGCTAATAAAAAAAGGCAGTGCAGCCAGACGGCTACTTTGTAGCCACGTGTTCATTGTTTGTTTGTGTACAGAGTGATCTTTGCCATTTTTCACTGTTTCATTTCAAGTGCAACATGGTGCGTGGTCCTTGACGCAGTGCGTGTTCTCTGTCCGACTATACGCCATGAATGTCGCTAGGCATGAGTCTCAGAGGCACTAAAAAAACGTCCCGTAATCGTGTTCATTGGAAAACAAAACAAATCACTAATAAATTTATGAAAACAGTTCCTTTTTGAATCGATCTAAAAGTACTCGTTTAATTCGCGCACCAAAAACCAATAATTTCCGATTTGACACTATTAATTCGTGCACTTGAAAAAATAATTATTTTTACTACCGCGAATTAATCGAGTTTTTACGGTATCTTCATCTTCATGACTTAATGAGCTGCATGTCATTTGTGTAACTAACTATATTCATGAGTTTTAAGACCAACACTTGTTCTTTAAACGATTGCAGACGCAAGAAGACTTCAACGATGACAGCATTTTTGATCATATAGATTATAAAGTTGCAGCTAAAAAATTAGCTGCAACTTTGACAACGTTATTAGAATCCATTGATGACAAACAAGTACTCAATGAGAAAAGGCGAAAACTAGATGAAAATGAAAAAGATGCTGCTGAAAACTCAGGTTAGTTTTTATATAAGTTATACTATTACAATCCAGTTCTATTTGTTACATTTTTAAGACTGCCTTAGACAGTCAAGACATCTGTGAGATTAAAGTACATTTATGCTAAATGAAGTCTGCCTTAGACAGTCAAGACATCTGTGAGATTGGAGTACATTTATGCTAACTGAAGACTGTCTTAGACAGTCAAGGCATCTATAAGATTGGAGTATCTTTATGCTAACTGAAGACTGCCTTAGACAGTCAAGGCATCTATGAGATTGGAGTACATTTATGCTAACTGAAGACTGCCTTATACTGGCAAGTTATCTGTAAGATTGTTTTGCTCTTTATTCAAGATTGTGTCTAAGCACAACCACTAGCGATGCACTCATAAAATTTTGAATAAACTTTCTTGCAGAAAAAAAAGTACGTACAGCTCGTGGTGGCTATGGAATTGATGATGATGATGATGATGATGACGACGACGACAAGGAAACAACAGGTTTGTCTAATCCTGTTTAATCGCTTTAATTTCTAAACAATCTCCACATGGCTTGATTTACAATTTTTCTGCATTTGCAATTAATATATCCTGGAGACAATTAAACACACACTTAGACTTATTATAATTGTAAATATCTAAATATTATAAACTTATTACTTAATTATTGAGCAAATGTCTCGGGTCTTGATTAAACTTTTTGATAAAATACAAAATAAAGAACCTGAATCCTTATCTTTGTGGAATAATGCAGCATGCCTCCTTATCTTTGTGAAATAAAGAACCTGAATCCTTATCTTTGTGGAATAATGCAGCATGCCTCCTTATCTTTGTGAAACAAAGAACCTGAATCCTTATCTTTGTGGAATAATGCAGCATGCCTCAAATAGTTTATCTTGGATCTTTATGTCCATAATATTTTTATTAACTTTGTTTTTAATTTTGTGATCAGGCAAAAAAGTCCCTACATCTACTGGTGGCATTGGTCTTACTGATGATTATGAAGATGATGATGATGATGATGATAGAGTCAGAGTCCGAGTTACGAAAGTCAACATTGCTGGTGAACAAATGCAAAAAGAAACAGAGATATATGACAGTAAATACAGGAAAATAGAGAAAGCTGTACAGGAAGATTTGGAGAATGCTGGAATTAATCCTGATGGTAGGTTTAGCTGCTCGCAGTCACTATAAATATTTCATGTTATTTATCATTTAAATGGTCATTGACAGACTTAATGACAAAGGTTGTCTGGTCAGCCCTAATATGGCGAGGTTCTAGGACTCTAGTTTTGAAAAATGTTGCTCACACATGCATAAGTACAAGTTGTGTTTGAAGTGTGCCAGAACTTGTTTAGTCCACAATTCTTTCAATGGTTCACCAATATTTAGTTTGGAAGCCTATGTCCTCTTTCCTCTGTGTCTGTCTGTGCGCAAATTGTTTCACTCTTATACTATAAGACAGTGGCAAGTTTTTTTGAACTCATTTCTGAATATTGCTTAAACTAATTTGCATACTAAGTAAGCATTCCCGTTTTATTGATGCATCACTGGATTCAGATTTTTACGACTGTCTTAATTTACATAATTTGAAAATTGTGAATAGCCTTGGTTATAGAAATGATTGTGCCACAAATTGAAAACTTTTTTCTGAACTTTGTTTCTATAAGTGTTTTTAATTGGTCAGAAACCTAACTCGTGGCAATAGTAATTTAACCAATCATGCTTGATATGCCATAACTATCTTAAGATTATGATATATTTAATAATCTTATTTTTTAGGACAATGAATCTCATTTCATTTTTGTCTACCAATGTGTAGTTAATTAGCTTTATTTGCATATTAATGCACCCAAAGAAGATTTTGTTTTTTGCTATGTACGTAATTCTTGGCTTGTATCCCTATCTCACCCATATTGTATTTACAGGTAAAATAGAAGTAAAAATCATTGCATATGATCCAAATGACGATGAGAGCGGTATGACCGTATTGTCTGAAGAAGAGACTACATACTTTAAAGATATGATCATAGGAATTCTGGTGAGCCTATCAACTGTAAACTATTAAAATTCTGCCAATACACATTTTCGCTATATGATAATTTAATGGTGTTCATGAGAGCCGAAGTTTTGCAAAACTCGCTGTGACTATCAAAAATATGTGTACTGATAAATGCATTGTTTTTGGGAGAGACAGATTCAGTGAAAATCAGGAAATTCTGTAATGGTGAAAACTTCTCTAAATTTGCAGCAAATGTTTGTGAAATGTTGTTCTTGTGGATGCCATAAAAATTATCATGACATTTTCCTCCAGCACACTATATTCTCATTATATCAATAACATACACTGCACATTTAAATGTATCCACAACACTTTTGTACTCATTCATAACAATTTTGAACAAGTGTGTCTGGTGGTGGAACTTTCTAGCCAAATGAGTACCCATTTGCATATCTGTTTTCGAAGAGAAGGGAGACTTTATGTCTGGTATTGTCTAGAACTTTGTAAACTGTATCTGCTCTATTAGGAGTGAAAACACTTACAAAGGTGTTTCTATGGTCAAAATAAGTAATACTTGTTAATTCTTCAGTGTACAACAAATGTGATTGTGCTTTAATTGGAGATCTATTTCTAATAGAGTAAATACAGTACCTATATTTTGCTTCGTCCCTCAAAAGTCTAGGATATACGGGTCAGTTAAGAATAAGAGGAGTTTCATGTTTTCTTTTATGTGTAAACTTATAAATATTTGAAAATATCAAATCAGTACGATCTTATTTTATATTTAAATAGAAGATGCAATTCTCTGAAAAATGGGCTATCCATTTACGAAAAGAGTGCCACCACTGTGCTTGTGGTGCTATTTGTGTTGACCAAATTGCAACAAGCAGGCGATCCCTTGTCTCTCATGTTAGCTCTCACAATAGCTGTATTTTGCTGATGATCTGAGTAAATAGAGAAAATATTGACACACAGATGTTGTTTGTCTGTAGGGCGGCGGTCAAGAAACTACAAACGAAGCAATACGTCACCAAAGACTTGAAGACAATTACAATTTTGTATGGGGTGAAACATCTTCATCACAGCAATCAACATTAGACAGCGATGATGCAGAATAAAATGAAATACAGTAATTAAATAAACTTTGTTGAAGTCTGGGGTTCTTAATATCAGTAGATCTACAAAAAAGGCATTAATAGAATAGGCATTAAGAATGTACTTACATGATGTAATCGGAAATAAATTCTTGATTATTTGCGCTCACACAATCAAAACTGACACACACGAGATCAAAATGAAATTTGTTGTTTCATATACACTGCCAAATATTTAAATGACCTTATATCAGACCCACTTGCTACAAATTAGTAAAACAAACCGCTGAAAATGGCTTTACCCTGAAATAAACACGGTAAAATAATAGCCCATTGGTCGCTTCCAATAAGTTGAGCTTGCCTAGTGATGAACTTCTTCTGTGAGGTGAAAGGAAGGTTTCTATATTGTTTTGGTCTGTAGTTGTAATAAATGATTTTTTTAGTGAACTACTATATTTGCCCTATTAATAACTTACACTTATAAATGTCCCAGTATACAATATGTGCAAACATGGTTTACATGTGCTAGTTAAAACAACTTCCCAATCGAACATAGATGTCATTTTGAATGACAATGTTTTCTTCTTTTGAAGTCATGGTGATTTTATTGCTATGTGTGACCTAAAAGAACTTTTCATGTATCCCATAACTACTATCCTCTGCTACAAAATTAAACTTCCTTACAAACATTGAATTATTTTATTTGTTTTGTGGTTACATTTGAAAAAATAAAAATTTGTGTTAAGCTGTTGTAGATAGAAACTGATATTTTAACCCAAGACTTTTACCACATGAAAAAGAAATATATATTTATAATTTATACAAACTGACTTAAATCAGAAAATGGATAATCAGAAAATATTCATTCTGATTCTAAAATTTGTTGAGTTTATTATTTATTTGTTTGAGTTTTCCTGAATTTAGGGTTATGCGATTTTCATCGCTGTCGATTTTTGCAAAGTGAGGGCATTCTAGGGAGTCTGTTCTCAGGATGCTGATAAAATGTTTCAAAATTCTACAATTTTCCAAGTTGAAATTAAAACTGTCTATAGCTGTAATGACATTGTGAGAGTTGCAATTAACAGATTAACATACTGTGATATTTCAAAAATATTTGTACATGAAATATATTGTAGAGTTATTTATTTTTACATGATTTTAAGTTCAATGATTTAAAGCTCCTGAAAGAGTGGCATGCCATTTTAGCTACATTGTCTTTCTTTTCATTCTATTTTCTATTTATAATAGAAAATGTTTGACTTCAACTTACATGTTAGCTAATTGGCTAAAATATCATACCAGCTAATTGGCTAAAATATACCAGCTAATTGGCTAAAATATCATACCAGCTAATTAGCTAAACAGATATTTGACAGTGCGGTACGTTTTAATTTTAATACCAAATTTTACAGATTAACAAAATATCAAAATTGTAAAACAAAGAATAATCGTTCCGTTGCCTGAAATGATTATGTAAACTCAAACAATGTAAAATCTGGGTTGAGTTTCAATTAGGTGTGGCTGTATATTTTTAGAGATATTGGTGAAAATATGCCTCTTTATTGGCTTAATCAGGAGTAATTTTTGTAATTGAAGAATGTAAAAAAATTCTTTCTAGATATCTGTCTGGAGTTGAAAAATTAAACCAACAAAAGTGTAATTGGATACAATTTAATACTGATAACATCTACTTGGGCATAGATCTGGTTTAGCTTAAAGTTCAAATGAAGTAAGAAAGTATATACTGAGAAAGAAAATAAAGACTTGTTTTTACCTTACCTGTATTATCAGATGAAGGGAAAGGTATTGAGGGGAAAATGTCTGTCTTTGTTGTCTGTTTCTTGTGGTTACAATGTATCCCATTATCTTTTAAATTTGGTATCATATCAATCAGTATAAAACCTTGCCCAAGTTCAATTGTGGTTTGATTTGCATTTTTAAAATACAACTCAAAATTGTTTTCTTGTAGTTGTCATCTGATCATCTTGAAACATGCAAATCTTAACACTTGCTATAAATTATCAAGCAAGTCTAATTTTGGTGTGACTAACATGTATAATTTTCAAGATATACATGAAAATTTGGCTAAAATACAATATTTGTTAGACATTAAAACATAGTGAGAGTAACTGAATGTTTTTATTCTGTAGTATAAATAATTTTTCCCTGCCAAACGTTTATACATATTGTCCTGCCAAAATATTGCTTATTAAATTGCTGTCCTATTTGGGAACTTTTATGCTATTAATGTTGTTATTCCATGAGGAAGTTTGGGATTAAATAGCACATGCAGTATTAAAGCTAGTTGTATTACAACTTTAAAGCGAAGGAGTCGTCACCTGCGCATATGTCAGATGGCCATAGCGTGTCATTGTTTTACAAACAAGTGTCTACCCACAAGCCTTTGCATTTTTAGCATGTGTCATCAGTGCTTGGGACTCAATTCCCGCACATGCGCAGGTGATGACTCTCCTGCTTTAATACTTGAAATCTTTCAATTTTGAGTAAAAAATCAAATCCAACATTTGTTATGGCATTGTACTGATCAAAACCTGTCAATACAACTTTGAAGCGGCAATAACTGATTTTGAAATTTTTTTCTTTAAATATAACCACAGAGATAACCACATCTCACCGGAATACTGTTTTAGACACAATTGTATTGACAAAAAAGAATCTAAACAAGGCTATATCACATAAAATGCAATGTGAAAACTAATGGTTGGGTAGTGGTTGAAATCGGCCATGTGAATTTATGACACACAATGCATACTAATAAGAGAAGTTACACGAAAAATTGGTGAAAGGCCTCTCAAGATGGCGCCATATTTGGAATGATTTTGCACCCAGTAAATTGCATCTTATATCGAATCACTGATGTTCACTTGAGAAAACCAATTGCAATAGACTGCCTGCTCTGGAGAATTTGACGTAACCACATGACCATCTTTTTCACTTGCGAGTGCTTTAATGTACAATATATAGCGTATATGACATGCTTTCAGTATTCACATTTCGGCAATGGCCATTACAAATTGGCACTAATGACACAGGAAATGTTTTGTTAAACAAATAAATTGCAGAAAAACAAATTAATGGTTACAGATATTGCTACTTTAAAGGTAGAAAATATATACTCCAGCTTTTATTTATATATTTGGTTAGATATTCACCAGTGTGATGCACAACCACCAGTCTAATTTACATTGTGATGTTTAAATCATTTTTCCAAACAAAACATTATACAATTAATGTCATATCATATAAAAGACCATGAGATTAACACTACATGTAATATTAACTAAGAAACAAGATTAATTAAGAAGATTAATTTTGTAACTAATTACTAATGACCTCGTTGTTTGATTATCTTTTATTCCTCATTCGGACAAAATGGCGACTCGTAGATTCACTTCTATGCATCTATACCTGTATTTCACATATACATACATACATTTATTTCATATTCCAATTATAAATGGTTGAATGGCAAGTTTACAAAACAATAAAATGGCAGCTAATGCCAAACTTAAAACTGGTGTTATAGTATGGTAGTATATCTGGTAATGTGGCAGTTGTAATGTTTCTACTCGTATGGCAGTGGTAGGCTAGCCTCTAACAGAGGTCAGGGGTCATTGGAAACCCTCAAACTTCAACCTGCGCATGATGACCTGCTAATGGCAAGGCAACACAGATGTTCAAAATGTATGGCAATAGATATGTGTTTCTGTGATACACCAAAATATCAACCTCAAACTGTTAGGCAAGGTACATTGTTTTCTCAGCATAAAATAAATTAATAAAGAAAAAATGTCTAAAAAGTAAAAACTTAACATTTCTTTTCAGCTACAAAATAAAACTTGAGAAATTACACCATTTAAGGGGAAGAAGTTCTTGACAGTTCTGAAAACTTGTGATAAAACATACAATTCAGGGTACACAAGTAACTATGATGAAGTTGTAACCCTAACCATGATTGGTCAAAAAGCATCTAACAACCAAAGAAATTAACCAATCAAATCTCAGTTCTTGTACCCATTATAGTATCATGGACAGAAGAATTTTAGTGGTAAATTGCAGAACTAATTAAAATCTAAGGCTAGAGTAGCATATGTATGTAACAGAACACAGATTTTCATGCCTCAACAATCACAAAACTTAGGTAGTTAAAGGAAATGTCTTTCATCTGAATGTGGTTTGAGAGTAGAATGGACCAGAACAATTAGCTCCATAGACTCGAGAACAGGGATCCAGAGCTCCTTATTTTGAAATTGAACACTCACGGCATGACCTTTGAGGTACATTAATCTACATGTATTAAAAAAACAAATATTTTGATATATATTTTTAACAATGAACAAACAAGCCTTGAAAAATAGTATTTCAAAATACAAAATGAAAACTAAACTAGCAATTAGTTAAATGTCTATACTTGTTTGTAAAATACTACCATCAATTTCTGCAAATCTATTCAGTGAAGGAAAAAATCACTACAACATTTGTGATTTTCAGATTCACAAGAGAGATTTATATTACTAGTACTACCCTAGTACTAGTATGGGAGAATATCAACTTGAACAGAATAATGGTGAATTCATCGTCATTCTTAGTGATGACCATAATTGACATTTGTCATTAAGAAAATATCACTGTATGTACGCATGTTTAATAAAATTGACAATTTAATTTTGACCCAAAGCCCTGGATTACATCCATGCAACACTGTTAATTCTGATCTAATCTGACTGTGATGTGAATTAATTTAATTTAATTTTTACTCTATATTTTTATTGCCATATATGATTACCGAAACTTTTTAAAAACTGCCAGCAAAATAAATAATTAAAACATAATTTACCGGGTATATGGAAAGTTAAGGCAAACAACATAATGTTCCCAGATGAAAGATACGTCACACTATACCCACAATCCTTTGCTGAAGAATCAAGATGGGTGACTACATAAATTGATGAAAAGTTGAATATCTAGAGAATGGAAAACTGATAAACAAAACTGAAATTGCATTTTCTTATCTGGGAGAATTATGTTGTTAGCCTTGAGTTTTCCTTTAAAAAAACAAACCAAAAAACTAGATCTTATTTTAATATGATTAATTTTCACCCAAATCCATTGGTTCACATCCATGCAACAGTCTGTTAATTTTGAACTGGAATCATACACAATCATGGGAAGCAACAGGTGTGCACTCTCAACAATAATGAGAACATTATGATAAAATGGTTTGATGCACAAGGTAGAATACACTATTGTTTGCGTAACAACATTGTCACAAAGGGCTATTTTATACTTAATATTTCTGTGTCTGAGAGTCATTCTACAGGGGGTGTCCCCATCTTCCATGTCTTCTTTCATCTCCGATGTCTTCTTTCATCTCTTTTTTACATGGCGAAGTGTCCTTGTCTTTTTCTAGTTTGACTGACAGGACTTGTTTTAATGTAAACCTTGTAGCACGGTACACTTGCTGGTGATTCTCCCCACTCTGACTGTGCAGACTCACTGTTGACACATTGCTTCCTGTTTGCAACATACTAGGTGTACTGGAAAAGTTATCAGCAGCTCGGTGATCAATAATAGCTTTCCAGATTTTGTCCTTCTGTTGTGGAGATATTTTCATATCATCAAGATCCTCAATTGTAATATCATCTAACTGGTGAATAGATAAATACCCCTTTTTCTTGAAAATCTCTGAATAATTTTCACAACCAAACTTGGATAGCCATTCATTAATACTATTGTCTGGAATGGAGGACTGTGAGAAATTTGTTGGCATCTGATTGGTAGTAGATGTATCGGCTTGTGACATCACAGACTGATGTGTGAAACTTTGACTCTCTATTTTGTATGGACAATTGGTCAACGACGACTGGGACGGCAAAGTATTCTTGCTGTCAGTTTCATCAAAACCACCATTTTCAGCATTTGAGTGGTACCGGGCATCAGGTTGTCTCTGTTGCTGTGCCCTATATTGGTTGAGTGTCTTCTGAGGTATGTAACTCATCAATTCAAGTGCTTCTTTCATCTTCAAAAGGAATTCATAATTTTCCCGACCTCGGACAATCAATGTGTAAACATCGTCGTCTCCCTTTCGCCTTTTAGAGCCAACTGACATCTGAAACCCAGCAGTTTTACTAGCACCTCTCTTTATTTGTTTTGGTGGAGGGTGACATCTTTTTTCGTCTGACTTTCTATCTCTACCAGGGCAGGCACATATTCTGACATCAAGTACTCTACGTCCCAACACTACGTTGTCCTTCTCCAGCTGAAAGATCACTTGTATTGGGCGACGATTTAGTCCTCCCACGCAAGAAGTGAAACACATAAACGCATAAAGATAGGTAATGTACTCAGTTCCAACTTGTGGGTTTTCATACGGCACACTCACACTCTGCCTACTAGTCGTAGGGTCCTCTGTATACCTTGCTTGTATGTTCTCACATCGCAGAAAATGAGACGGAAATGGGTGATCCAAGCCACTTACCTTCATTGAAGCATGATTTGGACATTGTTTAACAACCTCTTTCCACA